ATTTGCATAATGTTGATAAGCGCATATGAAATGAGCAGCGGCCGCCTTGCTTTTTGCATGTGTTAAGATTTTGTTTGGCTCTAATTAAAATTGCTTAAGACGCGTTGCATAAGGAGCGGCCCATTAGTCTGAGTTTGTCATGGCTTCCGATAAGGAAGAGGATTGGGGATTGGGTGCGGGCTGGCTTAGGTGCAGAGTTAAACACAACAACAAGAACAGCAACAACAACAGCAACAACAACAGCAACAACAACAGCAACAACATGCCTAACTTCTGCTTCACATGCGACTTTCTTTACTGCGTTACTGCTTTACTGCTGAGCTGATTATTCAACTTGGCAGCCCTTACGTGGCGTATGATTAAAACGCTTACAATATTACACATACGCACGGTTAGCCGGCTGTTGCTGTGCAGCTTACAAGAAAGAACATAGCACGCAGCAACTGCGTGTGTGTGTGTGCATTAAATTATGTTTGCTTTATGATTTATCTAACGCACACTCATAGGAATGTTGAGCGTGTACCGAACGCCATTCCGACAATATGTCTTATCCGGCTTTGTCTACTCAGACCTAACTTAAGGGCGGCGATAGCAGCACCACTGGCCTCGTAGGCTCCACAGGGTGCCCTGACTACGGGGTGCCTGGCTGCCTCGGAGCCAGTCAGTTTGGCAGCCAGGCATTTTAATAGACTTTCCCTCCGACAAATGTAATTGCGTTCAAAACGCAGCCGCTGGTTGCCACCTCACAAAAAGTCGAGCCCGCATACCGCAAGATATAACAAGCTTTAATCATAAATAAATACGCCTCGAAATAGAGATGGCAGTATGAAAATAACAAAACACAAAAAGAGAAAAAAGCCGAGAAAAGCAACAAAATAATAAAACAAAAATGTCACGCAGATATCAGCTTTGATGGAAAAAGGTCTGCCACGATGTATTTGAAGAGAGTCTGGAATGCTTTGGCCTAAGCCCGAAATACTCTAAGCGTTTTCATTATTCTATTATGAGTGACCTGAAATTTTGTAAATCCAAGCGTAAAAATTCTCCGAAATGAAGAAATTGTTAAAAAAGGATTTTCAATGCCAAACAAATTGCAGTTATTTGAGCTATTCTCAGACAACGCTCGAGTCAATATTGATTTGATTTTTTATTTTAGTAGTAATACTTAAGGAGATATAGCTTTCCCCGTTCCCCCGCTCTCATGCAAATATCCGCTATGTCTGTATTATTTAAAACCCATTTTTATTCTTTAGAAACCAATATACTTCTTTAACTTCCCGAATAAGTAAAAAAGACAAACAAATTGTGTCACATCATAGATACAATATCTCAAATGATATTCTTAGTGGAAAACTTGTGGAATATGATTAATGTTATATGAATATTTGCATGAATTATTTGTAATGGAAATTAAAAATGTCCAGCTTAAATTCTCGAATTGACGCTCACTTGCTCTGGGGTCTTCCTGCCATCTTAAAGAGCACGCGGCAGCAAGTTAAAAAAGTTTTTAAAAGCAATAGGCTGGTCGCCTAGGAGGTTTGTCTTGCTCGAGGCGATTTGTCGAAATTGCGTAAAAAAATGCAATTAAATTGATTGAGGTCAGAGGGCTCTGTGGACTTAAGCCGCAGGACATTTGCCATAAGTTAAAATATTTTTTCATTTCTTTTATAAATGTCTGATTTTCATTAAAGTGCGAGCCCCTCTGCTGAGGTCTGCGCAGCTGATGTTGTTTCCCCCAAAACTGACATCGAAAGTTGAGACTTCGTTTCAAGCGCGTGTTTCATTGAGGCAGTGGGGCACTTCAAGTTCTCCGATGCAGTCAGAGATTCGAGCTTAGTTCAGCCTCAACCCAGTCCACTCCGCCTGGCACTCGGTTGCGCTTGCCTGTGGAGGGTGCTAACTAATTCAAAGCAACTAAATCAAAACTTTTCTGAAGTAACACTCGGCTGGTGAGGCTAATACGGAATATATCGAGTGACTTATTTCACGAATGCGTTTCTCGCTGACAACTTTTAAGGGCCTTGTATAATTGCCCGCCGCCCAAAGCGGCTAATAAAAGTTCGTTGCGAAGTTTGTGGCCAGCCATTGGGCAGGCGTGCTTATTGCCAAAATGTGAAAAATAATTAATATTCTGAGAGCTCTACGTTCAGCTCGCTCTTGCAGGAAGCCACGCGCTGAATTATCCTCCAGACACACACCCATGAAGCCCAAACTGGTGTTGGCTGTCGACACCTTGGCCCCTTAGCTCTGTCGTTGAACACGACCTGCCCGAGGGGAAGTGGCGAGTGCTTCACGCTCCTCTCTTAGTGACCCACAGCTAATTGCCATTAAATTTTCGAGGGCGTGACTCCTTTATGTGCAGGCCACACATGCTGTGAATGTGGATGGTTTTTGTGTCGGGTCAATGGAGTGAAAACCCAATTGTTGCCCGCTCACCTCCCCACGTGGGCCACATACTTGCCAATCAAAGCCATAACAAATAAATAAGGTACAAAATCATCGCAGAGCAGTTGCTTTTCAGTTTTTAGAAACCTTTCCCATTGACTCAGTCAATGGGGAGACTCGACCCCGTTGGGCTTAAATAAATACATAAATATAAATTTAGTACATTTTATTTATAGCTCTACATATTTTATACGCATTCCAAGGCGGCCGTCGTACTAAAATCGTTTTACGACTTTAAGCTGCGATATTTCACGATATTTCATTCTGTTGAGGGACTTACCCAGGAACTGAGATTTTGACTGCAGTCTTAAATTGTCTGCATATTCAAATAAATATTATATACAATATTAAATATATATATCATTTTAGTCTGATAAACGAGTATATTAAGTGAGTGAACTAATACACTAGACTATCATGGTGTTTAGTTACGTATTGATCTCGTGCATATTTTCCACCCTTAAATCTAGCGCGTCTATTGCTGAGTGAGTAAGGCTCAGCATTGGTCTATGTCATATTCTTATCCCATCGCTGAGTTTGTAAGGCTCAGCGCTCGTCTCTTACATATTCTGACTCTGGGTCCGTACATGTGGCTCTTATCTTTTCTCCATTGCACCACCTCCTAGTCGTTGAGTGCGTCGCAGGCATGTATACGATCTTCGTATATTCGTATGTTCATGCCTGAACAGTGAGTCTAAAATGATTCCTTTATAAAAATGTGAGTCTACCAAAGTTAGTTGTTGCTTCCCGCGCTGCTCTCCGTTTTGCTGAAATTTTCAATTACTTGCGGAATGGAGGCGTAGCAATTCAATGCCTGCCATGCCTGCTCAGCTCAATAAGTTAAAGAAGCTGTCCAATAAATACTTGATTTTATGGCAAGCAAATGATGGAGCCCTCACCTGCGCCAAACGCACCTGGCCTTCTTCGAGTATATTTCTAGATACTTAGGCGTAGTTTAAGCTAAGGCTGCTCGTTGACGGACAAGCACCTGGAAGTAACTTGAGTGTGTGACCGTGAGCGCAAAAAGATTTGGTTCGATTCACCAACAATTTACTATGAGTTTAGCTCAACCCTATTAAGCAATGAATAAATAACACGCATACGCAGCGTCGCCCGCTGAGGATGGCCGCAGATACCTTCAAATCAATAGCAGAGGAAAGACTGACGCCTTCCAAACAATCCAATATTGAATTGAAATTGAAACGACTCAAGGCGAACAAGCACACACCCATGCAGACTCGATCCCAATGTGAGGTTGAGTCCAAGTAAAAAACTCACATCATTCGCATTTCGATTGCGATTACTGTCGGGATAAAATCGACTGATTGCCACACGCCTTTGTATTTTCAGGAATAAATTCGTATTAGCTCTACAGAGCTCCCCCCGGAGCGAGTTTGAGCTGTCTATTTGTCTGTCTGTTTGCCTGTGTGGCTGCCTGTTGCTCGCAAACAACAGCTCAAATCGAAACAAGCCTTGAAAGTAATAATACGAGAATGCCAACATACGCACAACCAATCTCAATACGGAATAAATGAATCCTTTGCACCAGCCAACAAAAGCCAGGACTCACTCACACTCCAGCAACTGACTTCAACTTGCTTTAAAGTAGAAAAGCAGCTTGTTGTGTTAGGTTACACTGTGGAATGATTGCATAAAAATCGCCACACGAAGAGAAAATGAGTAGTTTGGCTCGGGATTAAGAAATTCATTATATATTTTGAAGACTTTTTCTTAAAGCATCTCAACTTTATAATATTTTCATGTGGAAGAACATTCATTTCTAAAGTAAGGAAAGAAAACATTAACAGAACAAGGCGAACGGAGTGTGGGGGGACGAGTGCGTTAGGGTTAGAATGGCACTGATATATAGAAGACTAAAGACGGTGATGAAGAGTTAAAGAGAGAGAGGAAAGACTTTATATTCAATTATAATAATATAGTAAAGAGGAAAGAATATATGATTGGAGAAACAAAAAGGGGAAACGATACGAAAAAATGCGGAAAAGGAGAATGAACAGGAAAGAGCGTGATAGAGTGAGAAAGAGAGAGCATGAGAGAGAGAGAAAACACGATTAGCACACATAAATAAAATTAAAGTTAATTAGTAATTTAATTAACCCACATTTCCATGATAAATATTTAATTTTAACATATATGTTAATAATATAGTATTCAATAGCTTTCGCCCTATGTGTATACCATACTTACTACGTCGCTTTCTTGTTCTTCTGCATTTTCCTTAAACAGCAAAAATTGCTTTCGTTCAACAATTCATTTAAAATTTATAGTGCTCTGTTGTTCGACAAGGCTAGTGCAGAGTGTAAATTAAATAAGTAACTGACTGCAGTAGAAACATGAGAGGTTTGAACATAATCCGCAACAAGAAGCATAATTAAGGTCCATAGTAAACTCAAAATATTACGCATACGCAGCGTTGTTTGCCGTGGAAGTGAAAGCTGCTTAAATCATTTCCCTACAACGACTTTAACATGTATTTACTAACCTATCTCTGTCTAACACTATCTCTTTCTACTCTGTGTGTTTTTTGTGTGCAGCATGGAAGCAACTGGCGCCAGTCAAAGAGCAAACCCACTCGCAGATACAACAGCACGGACAACAGCAGCAACAACAACAACACCGACAACAACAACAAGGACAGCAAATGTGGTCACAGCTAAAACAAAATGTGCAAAATAAAACACGCAACTGTGGCGACAACAACCACTCTACTAAAAACCTAAATGCCATAAACTGAATAGTCCTCGTAGCGAAAAGTGCAAAGCTAGAACATAATAAAAAAACAAACTAAATAGAAGAAAAAAGAGAAACAAACAGGCGGAATCGGAAGTGGGCTGAACGAACAAATAAAACTGCACGCACACGGCGACAGCCACAAACAGGAAGTCAAGACAGTCACAGTCACAGTCACAGTCACAGTCACAGTCACGGTCACAGTCAGAGTCACTGTCCCAGTCGGTTAAGCGATTTCAGAGAAACATGTATGCGGCACTAATGGACATGAGCCAGATGCTGGCTGCAAGCCTGGCCTACGCGCCAGCGGAGTCAAGCTCCGCTGCAGCTGCTGCCGGGGTCAATCTTAGCCAGCTCAGCAACTCCAGTCAGCTGGATGGATCGTCCGTGGTAACGGTAGCCACAGCAGCGACAGTGGGCCAGCATAATGCCAGCATCGAGGAGTCCTCGTATGTGAAGGTATTGGATCGCCCGGAGACCTATATTGTCACCGTGCTCTACACGCTCATCTTCATCGTGGGCGTGCTGGGCAATGGCACTTTGGTCATCATATTCTTTCGCCATCGTTCCATGCGCAACATACCCAACACGTAAGTGCCCCGCGGCGTCCTTCCCCGTTACCCAACCCCCAAGTCATTCATATGCCACATACATATGCGTCCAATCACCCGCCATAAATACGGCCCAAATGAGCGCTGCGTGCCGCGTGCTGCTCCAGAAATAGCCCGAAAGAATTGCCACTCAACATTCATGATGCTGAATTATGGCAGCATCTCTGATTTTATTGCCTCTTGTCTGCTCTGCCATTCAGATCTTGTGCCTCGGTTTGGCTGCGGACAGAACAGCTGTCGTCGCAATCTTGACCAACTTAAAAGTCCGTCGGAGATTCTTCCAACTTTTTAGCCAAACAGCAGACGCGGCCTGTGGTCAGGAATGCTAAGCAGGACTTTCAAATTGAATGCAGGTTTCGTGGGCCACAACAGATTGTAAATCAAAAGTTTAATATCTCAAGCTTAGTTTAATAATGAATATCATAATTAAAGCTTGAGCAAAACATGAAGATTATTTGAAATCGATATTTATCGATCAAGCAATAATTATAATAATAAATAATATAATGCAATAATTATTATATAATCTATTCACACACAGCTTTTGGATGGATTAACCATGCGATATATATTTTGTATATTCATACATTCATATAATAAGTTTGCAAACCTTAACCCATTGAAAATGGGAAATCAGGGTATAATGGTTTAGTTAAAAAGTGTGTAAAGGGCAGAAGGAATCATCGCAGACCCCATAAAGTATATATATTCTTGATCATCTGAATCGATATAGCCCTGTCCGTCTGTCCCTCCATCCGTCTGTCCGTCCGTCCGTCCATATGAGTGCGTCGATCTCAGAAGGTGTAAGAGCTAAAGAGCTGAAATTTGGCATGCATACTCGTCGAGCAGTCGAGCAGTCGACTGGAGCCTTCTTACTTGTTTTGCTTTACATTAGATAAAGGCAACAATATAATATTAATATATTACGTGGCAAAGTCCAGTCTGTCTTTTCCATTTTACCTTCGCTTAAATTTTAGATCAGCTCAGACTTTATACTATCCACTACACTGGGCAATGGCTCGCTAATACATTCCCATATTTACAGCATTCTTAACTTTTTTCGCAGCTGGCTTCACTCTTGCTATGCATTAGAGTTTTCGATTCCAGCTGTCACAATGCAATGCTAGGCGAACAGTTCTGTACGTGCTTAATACCTTATATCCGCTTAAATGAATGAGGGTATCCTGGTTTATAAAAGCATAGAAGTTGAAATGTTATCACACTTTGTAAATATGAAAATACTTTAAAATACTACGAGCAGTGAATTGATGTATCCGTCGAGTACGGCTGTCTATGCAGCTGCTTGCTAGAGCGGGGCCCATGCATGTTTATTAATTTATATAACTTGTAGGAAACTCAAGAGCTGTAACAACGATGTAGCGCCATGTGTTCTGGCTGTGTTTGGGGCTTCGTTTGGACGAACAATTTAAATAAATTCAAATGGCAATTCAATCAAAAGTTTTCCCGCCAGCCCAGTCGGTGCTACAGCCGGTGCCACGGCCGCGAGCTGGAGAGGGGGAAAGGGCTACGACTAAGAAACACTTGCATAACAAGCATATTATAAATTGTCGTCACGCTCGACTGCCAATAAATGTGTCTGCCCTGCAATTTCCATTGAACAACTATTTTATCGTTATACAAATTGAGAATAGCCGAAGAAAATATGAAAACGAAAATATGAATTGAAATATGCCAGAAAATGCATTCCTGTCCAAGCTGTCCAGGCTGTTCTGGGTATTCTGGATGTTCACGCTGTCCAGGTGTTCAATTGGACTATTGAGTGCTGATTGTAGTCATGGAGAGAGGAAGACGAGTTCATGGACATGCCTGCCGCAATCGGGAGCCAATCAGTAGACCAAGCGGAGCGTTGTAGCTCCTATTATGGCAAAAGTTTTGGCGTTATTTGCCATTCTTTGTCCGGTTCGTCTAGACAAGCATCAATTGCCATCAATCAGAACTTACAATTTGTGGCCGATAATGAAGCGGCGCTTGCGGCGTATTGCTTTTAGTCTGCCACCTAGCCGAGGTTCAATCAGGTCAATGACAAAGCAATTTTCTTTTAGCTCAAATGAAGACATGCGTTGTTTCGCTTTTTGCATTAGGGGACGAACGAAATTAAATTCTGTTCCAATTGGCAATGGACCGACAATACTTGAGGCTGGAGGGCTTTTTAAACGAACCCATGTCAAGGAATCTACTCGAGAATGGTCAAAAAAACGACACAAAAGAAATATATTTGGAGCAAGTGGCGTTTCACTCAAGTGTTTTACAAGTGGCTGCGCAACGGTTCACACAAATGGAACAAGCCCCGTTACCTTTCCCCCGACTCCGACTCCGATAACGATTCCGATAACAAAGCGAATTCTATTCCAAGTTTCAATCCCTGTGCAACCATGCAGCAAATTTGACACGTTTAACTGTGCGTGAGCTGAACAAGTTTCCCAATCGCTGGTTCCCTCTAAAGCAAGCTTGAGCGTAGACCATAGCTGGTCAGAAAAGTATTTGCATAGCAAATACCCTATTGATCTTGGCAAGTAAATTAGTGAAATAGGAGTACGTTAATATCGAGTACACCGGATCGGATACACCGTTATACTTGAGAATGGTAATCAAGAAATCAATAACAAGATTTGTGGAACAAAGATAAATATATAGTTAGATTAGGATTATTATTAAATCAGCTTTTCCAAATTCAAGTTGGGCCTTTGTATGATAGCATATTAACTAACTATATATCTTTATGTCCTTGTGAGTTGCTCAGAACTTTGATTTACTAGATTCTCTATTATGAAATTGTTTCAGCTTGTAGGTAAACTTAATGGACAATATCTCCTTACAGCTACATCCTCTCCCTGGCTTTGGCCGACTTGCTGGTCATCCTGGTCTGCGTCCCTGTGGCCACGATTGTCTACACACAGGAGAGCTGGCCCTTCGAGCGCAACATGTGTCGCATTAGCGAGTTCTTCAAGGACATTTCGATTGGAGTCTCCGTCTTCACGCTGACCGCGCTCTCTGGCGAACGCTACTGCGCCATTGTCAATCCGCTACGCAAGTTGCAGGTGAGCAGAGCATACCGTTACTTATTTTGTGTAACAGTACCTGAATGTTTCCTCATTCGCAGACCAAGCCGCTGACTGTCTTCACGGCCGTCATTATCTGGGTGTTTGCCATTATGCTGGGCATGCCCTCGTTCGTTGTCTCGGACATCCAGAGCTACAACATAACCACGCCCAACGGCAACATAACCATTGGAGTCTGCTCTCCATTTCGATCCAAGATTTATGCAAAGTGAGTTTCGCCGCTAGCACAACATTAATCAGTTAAAGATATTTATATAGACATATAAATACAATATATATATGTATATATAAATATTTATATTCGTATTTGTTCGCTTCATTTGGTTTTATTTAGCTTTAAGTGGGTGTCCAAGCGAAGCTCTGTCTCTCTGCTTCTCTCTTTCTATGAGCTGCAAAGGGCAAGTCCAGTCAAGTAGAAGCCATTCAAGTAGCTGACAGCTCCTGCCTTTTTGTTAACACTTGGAAAATTTCCAATCAAATCAAGTCAAACAGCAACAGCAACAGCAACAACAACTCAAACAAACATTAAATTTAATCTTCCATCATAATTTAGACAAATGCTTTATTTGCTGAGTACTTAACGGTGTTCGGATAGCCACTGATTTTTCATTTAGAAATTCAGTTGTGTTTAGCTTCATTAGAAATAAAATTATATTTGTATAAGAATAAATCGATATCACTTTAACGCGCAGCTGGACACTTTTAAGGCACTTCAAGTCAACAGGACATCCCTAGTAACTCCGCTCTCTGTGCCCCATAAGGCTATAGCCCTCTGGTAAGCTGTTGCTGCTTAGCTCAACGACGTCTACCCCAGGCTCATTCTGCTTCCATAGGCTGCTCTTCACTCGCCTCGCTGATAAACTACTTCAATTTAATTCCACTCGTCACTTTTAATACTTCTCCAACAGCTGCCCGGCCACAGCCTGTGCAGGACCTCAGCGTTGCGGCGCTTGCTGCTCGCCTGTTGCCACAACTTGGAAATCCTTTCATGCTGGACAACAGCAGCTGTTGCCACATAATCTCCCAACGACTCTCTCTCTCTCTGTTTGTGCCTCTGCTGGTATTCAGCTTCAGCCAATTGGTTGCTAACGTTTCATCCGATTCGTAAAAACCCCTTTAGGACTCGGCCGCTCCTGTTTAAAAAACCCACAAAATTGCTGAGAAGGATAAAATTAAATGTTGGTTGTTTTTTATGCGAATAATTTATTCGGTCGTTAGTTCAATGTCACGCCACACTATAATTTAACGGATGTCTTCAGCCTGCAGTTCCTTTAACTGTCTCACAAATTGGCTAAGATGTCCTAGACACGCATCTCCGTAGCCATAAGCGCTTACTGAATTGCTTCTAATTTATTAGGCAATCATTTAACAGTCACAAATTAAATTCTCATCTATCAATTTAAACATGTCTGCAACATTACGAAGCTCAGCAGACAGCCGTGCCTTCTATTTTTGAGAGCTGCTTAATTTTCGCAATTCAATTTAATCAAATTCATCAAATTCAATCAAAACCCAAAAATACATAAAAATAATGCATAAATATTTAGAACCAGATCCTTTATGAAAACTGGACCTATCTGTATTTATTTGGGTATATCACATTCATATAAAAATATCTTTGGCAACTCAATCTAACTTTAAACCATTCAAACTTGGCTAATGGGCTTATCACATTTCGAATGAATTGACAGCCACTTGAATTTTATATTACTGTTAATTTAGCTGGAATTTAACTGACTGAAATTATAAATTCAATTATTAAGAGAAACGACAGAAATCAAATTTTCAGTTTTAATTTGAATTTATGTATTTTACTTTTTATGCGTTAGAAGGGATTTCGCATTGGAACTCAATCCGCTTTAATCCGATTATTTGAAAACATACGCATTATATTTGCAAAAACTAAATAAAAAAATAAGTTAAATTCATTTTGAGCGTTTTTTATTGATTGACAAGTCAAATATCATTTGCTACCTAAAAAGAAATTCATTAATATTGAGATAATCCGATTGCATATACATTTGTATACCCCGAGTCCATTCAAAAGGGCTTTTTATCGTATATTGCATTCGTGAATTTGTATGCAACAAGGAGTAAAGGGAGAATGTACGTAATATTACTTCTTCACATAGTTTAGGGTAACTACTAAAATAGAAGCTTAAGTTTAAGCAAGCTCATGCAATCGACTCGAACTAAGACCCCACAGTATTTATAGATGACCCTATTTAAAATGAACCAGATCCATAGACAATAGTTTTCGTTGAGCAAAGTTGAAGTCAACTCCAATAGATGTCGACCTGCGGAGATCAAAGTAGTTCACAGGCTGCTTAAAGACTGTCGTTGATTAATTAACGGCCAGCCCAGTACTGGCTGGGGACTCTCATATCGCACCGTTAATTCACCCCATCTGGTTTAAGTGGAGCACTTTAAGTGACTGTAACTGCTATATGCCTGCTAAGCCGCTTTACTCTTTGCAGATACATGGTGGTGGCCAAGGCGTCCATCTACTATTTGGTGCCACTGTCCATCATCGGCGTGCTATACATCATGATGGCCAAGCGACTCCACATCAGCGCCCGCGACATGCCCGGCGAGCAGCTGAGCATCCAGAGCCGCAGTCAGGCGCGGGCTCGCCGCCATGTCGCCCGCATGGTGGTGGCCTTTGTGGTCGGTGAGTAGCAGTTGGTCGACTGGGCCTGAGTAGCGGCTCTCTAATTGCCCTGGCAGTGTTCTTCATTTGCTTCTTTCCATATCACGTATTCGAGCTGTGGTACCACTTCTACCCGACGGCCGAGGACGACTTCGACGACTTCTGGAATGTGGTGCGCATCGTGGGATTTTGCACCAGGTAAGCGGATCTACTGTAACGGTGGCCCTTTTATCTTCGGCTTGTTTTTGCTCTTGGTAAATAGTTTGAAGTTGTGGGGCTTAAGCCCCGCGTTCCATTCGTTCCATATGCGAACGTTACTGTCCTTCAACTTGTTTCAACAGTGCCCCAGGCGTGCAGGCGTCTTCTTCTTTTGGCATTATTTTTAATTGAAGGAGATAATCCCTGTAAAAACTTACTTTCCTCCCTTACACACACGTCTTCCTCTCTCTTCCCTCCCAGCTAACTAACTCTTTACCACACTCGCATCCACGCATCAAGCAGCAGTAAATTTTCCTTCGTTGACAGTCGCCCCGTTCCCCGCCCTGCGACGGCCCCTTTTGGCGCTGGGGGCGTCACTTAGCGCAGTAAAGTGCACAAAATAATGTGTCAGCATTTCGGGCAACTTAATTTCTGATGTCGCAGACTGTCAGTTCCACTGAGAGTAATTTGCATTTCAATGCCGAAAGGGCTGTCCAAGAAAAGAAAAATAAATGCATCTTGAATAAAATATTCCACAAAAGGTTGCAGCGATGTCAATTACTTGCCGTGTTTTCTGCTACCCCAGTTAAGTGTAAAAGTACTACACTAAAGTGTTTTCCGAGCTGCTCAAAACTCTCGAGTTTCATCAATAACTAAACACTCTGCCAAAGGTCCAAATTAATTGCATTTGTAACTTTAAATTCAGAAGTAATACTAGAGAAATAGAGTGTCAATGCTCGCCCAGACCGATTCTTCTGGATTGTCATTCAAAGAGACAAACTCAAATCAGCTTTATTTAGGATTAAAGAGCAATTTTGAACTAACCAATTTGATTGATTACAAATTAAATAGTTTCGATTTGATAATTAACCAAGTGATATAATATCAATCAATGTAGAAGCTATTCATCCGCTGTTTCGGAATATCTTCTTCGTTTCAAAATCCAATTGGCAAATGCTGAAATATTACCATTTTGACCTGTTTATACCCTGAACCCATTTTCAATGGGAAGTCAGGGTATAATGGTTTTGTTGAAATGTATGTAACAGGCAGAAGGAGGCGTGGCAGACCACACAAAGAGCGACGAGCTGAGTTGATTTCGCCCTGTCCGTCCGTCCGTCTGGCAGTGTGTTTGAACGCGTGGATTTCAGAAAAAATTTCCGAAAATACAGCGCGGATATCGAGTTTTGCTTTAAAACTCGATAACTACTCCCGATATTGTTTATCGATTAAAAATCCTATCGAAAATTAGTTATAAAATTATATCTCCTACAACTTTAAAGCCAAATTTTTAATGTAGATCAAATTTACCCCCAACCCTATATCCACCTCTTCACCCACATAATTGTAAAAGGCGTATTTCAAATACTAGAGATTTGTGCTTTGGCAAATGCATGCATATATGTTATAATCATAATCTGAAAGTTTCATGAAGATCGTATGTTATTAACAATTAAGTTCTCATAGTAAGCGCACACTGCAGCCCATGCGTGTTTATGCGTGGGTGCTTGTGTGTGTATGTGTGTGTGTGTGTGTATGCGTGTGTGCGTTTGTGTGTGTGCTTGTGCCTTGTGTAAGCAGAAAGACGCGAAAAATTATTAAAATAGCTAATGCTCGAAGGGTTCAGGGGATTTCGTAGTCAAGCAGTCGCAAACTTTCTTACTTGTTTCTAAATGAAATACAATATATGACTTCCACTAGAATGATACTTGTATTCAGAATCATTGCCTTTATAATATATTGTACTATCGATTTTCATAAAGGACTTGACTGCATTACAAAATGTACAATTTAAAAACCATCGAACATTTTATATTCAATTATTATTTAGATCACTAACACAATTTGCAAAATATATTGCAATCAAACTAAACGAATCAAGCTTGACTACTTCAAAAATACTGAATTACTTATTGAAGCTCTAATGATTTAACATTTATATTTTGCTAGTGATTTCAAAAATATAAAAAAAAATTTAGTACTACAAGTACTATATGTCATATATGTCATATTACTTTCCAGTACAATAGCGGATCCGCTCTGTTTTAAAAGTTGTTTCAGCTATATCAACATAGAAACAAAGCGAATTTAACAGATTCCGCTTATAGTTTTCGAAGTTGTATTTAAAGTCTGTTAATTAGTAGATTAGTGGAGTGGAGCGTAGAGGCTGTAATTAAACTATTGTAGATAAGATAATTCCCCTCAGCACTTGCACTCGCGCACTGGCCATAGACTGACTTTGCGCTTTGGTCTTCTCTAATTGCAGCTTCCTCAATTCGTGCGTTAATCCTGTGGCGCTCTACTGTGTGTCCGGCGTGTTTCGGCAGCATTTCAACCGTTATCTGTGCTGCATTTGCGTCAAGCGGCAGCCCCATCTCCGCCAGCACTCGACCGCCACAGGCATCATGGACACCAGCGTCACCTCTATGCGTCGCTCCACCTATGTGGGCGGTGGCATCGCAGCTGGCGGGGCTAGAGAGGGTGGGCCGCGTGCCTCGGTGCACATGAACAACAACCACGGCGTCAGCGGAGCTGCAGGCGGTCGTGGCGGCAGCTTCCATCGACAGGACTCGATGGCCTTGCAGCACGCAGGCAGCGTCAACGGGCACTCGCACAATGCGAACGTGGGCGCTGGGGCTGGCATCGGCCGAGCCTCCATCATCAATGAGAAAAGGTGAGGCACACTGATTGTGGAGCTGCTGGAGGAGGGCTCCACTTCCCAACAGGCCGACGCGCAGCTCTAAGCACTTGGCCCCTGATCTCACTCACACAATCGCTGTATGTGCGCGTGGCTGTGTGTGTGAGTGTGTCGCACCCGCACTGCAATTTATACACACTCTCGCTATGCTAATTGGCAGTAATTGTTGTGTTGAGCCCCAGCATCACTGAAATGGCAATTGGCGTGTGTATTAGCTTCGGCTATAAGCCTATGGGTGCTCTACATAGCCAGCTGGCCTTTGTCCTTAGCCACTGACCATCTGTGCACGTGTGTGTGGGCATTGCACTAATGTTAGTGAGCTACCCACAAAGGCCTGCTCAAGCTGAAAACGAACCTGAGCTAAGAGCGGAAAAGTACTCGAATATTCCAATAGCCCTCGTGCTATCCCCCACTTCAGCAAAGCTCCCTCTACGTGTATCCCCGTATTAATCATATGTAAATTCCATGGCAATTGTGAGGCTCAATTCGTTGTAAATATATATAATAATTATAATCGCAATACCCTCTGATTCGGCGTACTCTATGTGATGTGGCAAAGTCCTAGTAATTAAGAGGCATTCAATATTATAGAGCATATACATTGAAATTCGTATCTGTTTTGTGCAATAAATAGACATGTAGTATACACACACATACACAGAAATATGCAATTCCACTTAATGTAAACCCATGTAGCTGCAAAATATTGTATATCAATAGCTATAATGAATAATTAAGTGTACAAAAGTTAATTGATAGATGTTTAGTTGTTGTTGCTTTCTGGTCTTGAATCTGATGTAATCACAGCAGTACTATATGGTAGAGTTTTAGCTTTGCAGCAAATGCTAAAGAATCACCTCAGACTTAGATGTAAAAACACTTTTATTGATAAGCAAAGATTTCGCAAGAAGAGAGCAAAGTATGTTATTATAATTCTGTTAAATATTCCAAACTCAATAAATATCTATGTAAACAGTTTGTACTCTATTTATGGGCAAGCAAGCAGGTAAGATCCGCAGCATCACATCTGTTATATTATACACTCACTAATCTTCAAATTCTTACAGCACTCGAGGCAAGACGCAATATGTAAACTGTTCCACTTCTTGATCACTCCTATTTAAATTCATTATATTTTCACTTTTACATTTTCAGCTTCATCAAGCGCTATGACGAGCGGACTCGCTACTAGATTCTAAATAACATCTGTTAGCTTCCATTGATGGGTGAATCAGTATGAGGGAAGATGGTACTTTAGCCATAAATTATGGCATTTCAAACGGTTTTTCGATTTAATGTGTTGTTTTAGCTGTAAGTAAAGAGATAATGATTACCGAAATGTATACGATGTGTCAAATCAGCACTGAATGGACTACAAATAAAATGTGAAAAACAATTTGGCATCTCGCAAAACTTAATAGCAAATTGAACCCGAATTGCAGCGATACGTGTGCAAGTTTAGCCAGAGAAATTAATTCTTAGAAAATAAATTGAATTTGTGATAAGCCAATTACAGCTAGCAGCTACCAGTTGCTAGACTAATCAAACGAGTTGCCAAGGGCTCACAGGTGCTCGAATTATTTAGAAATTAAACGCAACACGTTCAATTTGCATTCACAAACACGAAAGCCCGAGAATACCAAGAGAAAATCGGCAATTTCCAGGCACACAAAAGAAGAGTGGAAAATCGAAAAACATGGCAATTTATTACTAGCTGCCACTCCCAAAGAACAGCCGGGAGCTCTTGTTCTTTGTTTCCCTGGTTGTTTTGACTAACAGCTCGATGTATGTAAAGCTGCATATGTAAATTGTCTGAACATTGCATATACACGCCTACACACTCGACTGCGACTGCGACTGCGACTGCGACTGCGATGGCACACCTTTGTGGGCAGACCAAAGCTATTGGCATGCAATAAATGTTGGAGTCAAAGTGGCTAATCTCTAATGCAACCCCCAACAATCTGAACTGCTCACCGACCCCGTCCATTCAATTGTCTGGCAGGCCGGCAGACCCATCGGGCATTCACCAAATCAAGCAGAGCTCGGCCACTGGCTCTGGCAGCTGGCAGCTGGCTCTACAGATAAGGGACAGACAATGGACAAATTTTGTCATGTTTCAGGCCCGGGAAAGTGAATGCCATTTAACATTTTCCTACCTCGTTCGACTCCTGCTCGCTCCCTGCTCCCTGCTCCCTTCTCCCTTCTCCGGCTGCGGCTGTTGGATAGGCATTGTGACCGCAGGTAATGCTTATGTTAATCGTAATTTGTGTTGCCTGCAGCAAGCCCCAAACTGGGTCAAAGCGCACCAGATTTATGTACACAGCCAACATGTAAATATGTGCTCATCTGCCCATAGACAGCTGACGCCTCCTCCCTTTCTGTGGTGTGGACACGAAAAACCGCTCTGACCACAAATATTGTTGGTGTTGATTGGCATTTGCTCCTCCTCCGCCCCTTCTGGCCGGCGCCCTGGCAGTTCCTCAGTTCCATTGTCAGAAGTTTCGGGTGAAATTCTACTGCACAATTAGCTAATTTGTTGAGCAAGCTCTGTGGTTCTGTTACAGCTGAGCAGTTAACTTCCTGGTTTATAGAGCTGATATTGTGGTGTTGAAATATAATTACAATAAATAAACAGATTATATTGCAGATATGTACTCAATTACTTTATTGAAGGTGGCAGGTAGATTTTCCCCATACAGAGGCCGAGAAGTGTGTCTTGAGCGGGATATAATTTCATATACTTGGCAGCTTATCGTTCCATCCAAATGCAGGTTCTTTGTACTTCATTTACGAACTTATGATGCGGAAATAATCTTATAATCTACCAAGCGGCGTACACTATGGATAAACTCTTTAGTCTTACATGAAATGGTTTTTAATAAAATATGTCTAGAAAAGTATTCAATAATTGGGATTCAAGTTTTTTGAATCCTACTGTTTTTTTTTTTGCAGATAATCATAGCAGAGCTGCTAGTGTAAACTTTCCTTGTATTTTCGTAATTCCCTGTAAGCCTTATACTTATCCAAGTCAGTTTGACTCCACGGCAATGTTTTAATGCCTGCCGAATCGATGATATCCAGAGTCCTTCGAGCATACAAACTTGGCAAGTCTGCATCAACTGGAGCTGTGTATATAGTGGACCCAAATTTGTTGACCAAACTTGAGTCAAGTGTTGACTCTCCCCTGCATAAACAAGCAAACGCTTAACAGCTCACAGACGCCCCCGCTTCCGCACCTGGCTTTGCCCCTGACCCTGCTTGCGGACGACATTTCCCACATCAGCAAAGGACAATGTAATGGAAGCTTGATATACATATGCAAAGGAGTCCTGCAAAATGGCAATCGAGTGTGACAGAAATTTACAGGATAATGCCCAGCGTATCCCGGCATATTGTATGGGAACAGGGCTTCAAATATTGTACAACTATTTCAATCATGATAAAGCACAAATATCTGGAGCTCAATTTATAGAGAATCAGAAGAAATACAAATATATTTAATTTGGGAAGAGAACGAATTTGAACTTACCGTGAAATATTTGTAATTGGATTTCTTTATTCGAGTTTCAATTGAAGATTTCAGAATTTATATTGATAATGCCTCATTGACTTAATCAAATGATTATGGTGATTGTAATGGTTTGCAAATGGAATGTATTGTATTTTTGCAATATATAAATGCCGGCCGTTTAGAGGAGAGGTTACAGTGTGAGATAAATGCAGCTTCACAGTCAAGGCTTAGGGGTATGCGGGGTCTCCCCCAGGCGGCCACACATTCAATATGCGTGGCTATCAGATTATCAAGCGCTGGAAATCGGGGCAAATGGACGCAAATGCCAGCCGAGGGAGAGCTTTCAAGAGGCCCGAAGTGATTTATCACGCTGCAAGGGAGCTGCTCGCAGCTGGCAGGAGACTCTAATGCGCCAAGGCAGGGCCTCCAGGATAGGAAGAGCCATAACTAACATTTAGTGCTGCATAAGACGACGACAATCTTGGCCGCTAAGCGGACCGGTTATCCTTTTCGGTCCGGAGTGGGGACCAGAGTGGAGGCCGTAGCATTCCTAATTCCTCATCTGCGCGGTCAAACGAAAATGAGTTCCAGCTGAAGCGACGGACAGATTCTTATCCTGTTGCCATTTGCTACATGTTTGTGTGCCACGCAACCCAGAGGAGATTCCATTTGCGTCTTGCTTAATTTAGCCCTGGCTTAGCTAGCCATCCACCCCCAACCCCCACAGCCCCTTACGAGCACTGCGATGCCTCGATGCTATTGTGCTCCGTATTCTTTTGGTCGCTTTGATTATGTTTTCGCTTTGCTGTGCGTCTGCTTCGCTAATTGGCGCTACTCGTAAGCTGAGACCCATTGACAGCTCAGAGGCACTTACCCTGCCACTGGGCGTGGCATGTCGCAGGCACACGACCATTGGGCTCGTTGCACGCACGTGTTGCGATACGGCCAAGTAAGAGTAGAGCCAAAAAGAGACGTAATTCTGGCCTGTTTATGTCTATGGGCCGCAGTTTGTTTCCGGCTTTATGGCGGCTTAGCTTGTTGATGATTGAAATTGTTTTTATTTTAGTTTCTGTTTATCTTGTTGTGACTTCTATGGCATTGACATTTATGAAAACATCTCGCAGTTGACATGGCTGATATACGTTTATTGTGAGCCTGATTTGAGCCTGATGTTGACCAGTAAATTAAATTGAAATGCATTTCCATTTTGTTAAGAAATCGCTTTCCCTTTGTGCTCTTGGGTTAATGGCACAAGTACCGTAAGAACATTTATTAGCTGAGAAAACGATTTCGTGAACTGCTCAGTCGTTGTTAAGCTTAAGGCTCTATAGCTTTAGAATATACATGCATAAGTAAAACGCTTTATGACTCGCGGATAGAGGGACGGAGAAAACAAAATACCTTTTCTCATCGCAATCATACGGTTGTAAAAACGTTTAATGTTTAAGTTTAATTAAGCAGGTTACTGTCAACTGGCTCTTCATAGAAATGTCGTTCCAATCCCCAAAAGAAATTGGGCAACACAATATAAGGATGTATATTTATCAATGAAAAGTTGTCAATCATATTATAAAATATAGTGTATTATAACCAATTGTAGGAAATATGTTATGCTCTGTTCCCATAGGTAAAGGAGAGCGAAATTATAACGTATCGGTATTGGAAAAAAATTGTGTCTGCCATCTGTATAAAAAGCTGAATAGGAATTACTAAGCCGGCGGAAAGCATTGGAATCAATTGATATAAAAAAATCTATTTTCCGTGTACTTTTCGGTTATATTTAGAGTGGATGTCGCCATTTGCATGACATGATACATTTTATTGTTGCCCAACAAAAAAGTAATACGGGAAATACGCGAACCCATGGCTAAATCACAAAAGGGAAACGTTATGAATAATATGTACTTGACAATCGTACTTCAATGACTCTACAAGCAATACATGCATATCTGTGGAATATCATGAAGAATATGATAAAGGCTCTTATTTGTTCAATGCATCGTGTCATTATGAGTAAATATAGTAGGAAGGCACTTCCATTAGCTCATTAACACCCCGATTCCAAATTGGAACTGGTATCAATGAATATGACTATAACTAAATCTTACGGTAATAGGCGAAGAAGCCATCTGACACTCACAATCGCAATGCAAATCAAACTGAATTGCAGCAGTCGATGGAGTATGAGAAAGCTGAAAGGCAAATTCAATGTCATTATTAATTAATTCATGTCAATATGATATTTGAGGTGAGGCTAAGCTTACCGTTTCATTTTCTGAAGACTGCGCTTCAATGTCTCCTCAGTTATTGGCACCGCGGACAGATAGAGGCACATGCCGAAGAAAGCTTGTTGCAAATACTTTTCCCAGTTCAGACTGTTTAAGTTGAAGTCAAAGAGCTGCTGATCCACTGGAGACATGCACTGCCACAATCGATCCACATTTGGTGTCTCGAAGGTCCAGCTTTCGAGCAGAAACCTCTGCAGCACATCAATATTCTTGTGGATCTTGTCGTATATGCGAATCATCCTTGGTTTCTGGCCGCGCAGACGCAGAGCTACGTCAATCAAGTAGCCGGGAATCAGGTGGTAAAATATGGTGGCCAGCTTATATAGCCAAACTATTTTGGTGGTGTGCAGGAACGGGTACCAGATACACTGTGGCAAAAGACAGTCTGTTCGCTCATTCTCCGCGGCTCTCATAAAGTACTCATGCCTAATGGAGTTCTCCCCGGTAGGCACGTAGTTGTAGATGGTTGCCGTGGCTGGCACAGCGGGGTTCTTTCTACGCTGCTCTGACTCCTCTGCCGTCCTCCAAGCGGCGGCCAGGGCCAGATTGCTACAGCCATCCACGGGCACAAAGTTCGACGGAGCCTGCTTATTGACTGGTGCGACCCGTAGAACCCCCATGGCGACGCCATAGAGCAACGCAATGGGCCCGTACAGGTTGTCTATCCACCCGGTGATAGGCTCTTTATGACTAGCGACAACTGAGAAAGAAAAACAAAGTGATGAATAGAAAGGAGACGGCTGGCAGGTACAATGAACTAGCAATATATTCTATGAATACAAATAAATATACGCAGATATGTATCAAGTAGATATATCAAAACATGTAAGGGTAATCATACTGCACGAAACCTCCTTAAATAAATGGAACTGATTGACAAACAAGGCTGGACGGACTCATGTTCCAGTATGTATTTGATAGATGGAAGCACAGCGGATTATGTGAATGAATTGAGCATACTTGTGAGTGTTACTTACTGGCAGCTGGGCGAAAGACGCACACCGGCAAGTCTCCGGCTTCGGTTTCAATGAGCTGTTCCGCCAAGGCCTTCGTGTAGGTGTACGTGTTGGGAAACTTATCTAGCAGTGCCGGAGCCATTCGATCAAACAGATCCGTGCTCAGCGCTTCTCTCAGTTGCAAAACCTGGCTCACATTGCACGAGAGATGCTCGGGATAAAAACGATCCGTGATGTGATGAATTACGCAGTTGGAATATGCCGTGGAGATATGCACGAAGGCCCCCAAGCGAGGCATCTGCTTAGCCAGCTGCAGCATGCAGCGAGTGGCCCTCGTATTAATATCTAATGCCACGTGCAGCGGCTCGGCAAAACTCACCGTTGCCGCGCTGTGCACCACCAACTCCACCTGCTGCAAAAGCAGCTTCCTATCCACTGCACTGATGCCTAGATCAGGCTCCGCGCAGTCCCCGTTTATGCCAATAACACGATCCAATGCATCGGGTTTAGCCTTGAGCAGCACTTCAAAAAGCTACGGAGTACGATGTAGATAGGTAGTTCTCTACGTGGATAGTTCCTGATACTCACTGGAACTGTTTTCCATTCGGCAATGCGGTCCTGTATGTTCTTGCCCCGCTTGGGTCTTATCAATGCGTAGATGCGCCTCACCTCAGTCTCACGCAACAGTTTCTCAATGATCACTGGAATACATTAGGATTTCAAAATTGCACAGACTATAAAGCGATTGACATTATTTATGTAGTCCCTTTTCTGATTATCTTATCTCACAGAACTTTGTTTAAATAACCAGTGTGTACCTCTTCCTAGGAATCCACTCGCACCGGTTATGAAAACAGTTTTGTCCTTATAGAAATTTTTTATTTCAGATTCCATTTTCTATTATATTGTAAGCACTCTCACATGGACAACCCGATATTTGCACTAACCCATCAACTCTGTAATGATTCTTTTTTACAAATGCTTTTATAGACTTAAGGGCAGAAAACTATTCCCTAACCTTCTAACACGAATTCATAAATATTAATGAAGCGAGTGGGCTGAACTATTTCAAGACTTTGAAAGAACTTTCTTTAATATTAGCTTTAGTTTCTCTTAATGAATTCAAGCTACAAATACCTAAACCTCACGCGCTCATTGCTCTACAGAGAAAGCTTTGAATACAATTAACATAAAAATTTGCCGAATTCAACGTTTCGGAAGGAAAGACTGGCAAATAAGTCCACATCGTCTTTAGTTCCTGACTTAATTTCGTACCATATACAACTTTTAATGAATGTTGGTCCCGATTAAAATTGGATTAAAATTATATTATATGATAATTTGAATACATTTAAATAAGTGCATTTTCCGAATGATTTTATGATAGATAGAACAAACTGAAAGTATTCACAATTAATGAATAAATCTGTATAGAATCGTAATTTAATTTGAAAAGTGTGCACATAATGCTTGCAATGAATCTGTGGGATCGACTAACACATCTTAATTGTAAAATATTAACTTGAAATCGAATACAATGCATTTTAAACTCCTTTATATTAGCTATTGAATTTGGACATCAATTTTGGTGGCCGAAAAAAAAGGGTCAGCGATAAATTCTATTTGGACTCAAAGAACCATCGCACTGTAAAGGATTTCAAGCCACTCAACGGATTTATGCAAAGCTTTTTAAGAGGTGGGGAATTTAACTTTACCGACAAATTAGATAGGCTTACAGAGACTCCAGCGGAAGTAGCCAATATTCCATTTCGATTAATAATGAAAGCAGATTTATCACTTCGTTAGGTAAAAGCCAAGCGAAACTGCTTAGACTTAAGCTTAATTTGTATATCCTAAACTCATTAAAATCATGGGGAATTAGGGTATGATGAGAGGCAGGAAGCGGGTTGCATTAAATTGCTGTCAGTTTACTTGGATTTTCAATGCCTGTAAATTTTAGGTTTAAAAAAAAAATGAAGTGGCGGTGTTGATAGAGCGGTGCGCATTGCCGAGGAAATACTAGTTCGATTCCTGTCGTTATCCGTATTTCTTCTTTCGTGATTATTTTGTTTTATATTAATGCTTTTTGATTATGAAAGTGCCTTCTCGATCAATCAATAAGATTAAACACAAAATATTAAAGTATAGTATTAAGTAAAAGCAATATTCGGACGGAGCCCAGGGTAGGTCCAGGTCGCGCACCCCGACTTGAGTGTCCTTACTTATTTTTTTGCAAATTTTCAGCTTCTATAAAAAAGCCCGCGGGTCACTGCCATTTTCTCAGTGGGTACCTGGTGATTGACAGCTGGGCAGGTACACACTTAATAGGCTTAGAAGCAGCCTCTAAGCCGGCTTAAATTTAAAGTGTCTTAATTTAATGACAGAAACAGAAAAACCGCCAACAGCGTCGCCTATCGCCGCCAAGAATAACCGCCAAAAGATCCAGGCAGTATTTGAGAATAAACCGAAATTGTATAAAGTGCATATAGTGCTTTAAAGATGTAGGGGATATAATTTTACAATTATCGATTTTTAGTGATAAACTCGATATCCGCGCTGTATATTCGGACATTTAAAAAAAAAATTGAAGTCTCTAGCTCTTATATCTTCTGAAATCGACGCGTTCAAACATACGGACAGACGGACAGACAGGGCTAAATTGACTCAGCTCGTCGCCCTGATCAAGAATATATATACTTTGTGGGGTCTCCCACGCCCCCAGTTAGCAGTGACTGCGCTTGTGCTGCGCTGCAGTGTGGGCAATATTATGAGAATTTAATTTTAAATATGAGATGAACTATCTATATGAATCTTCAGAGCGTGATCATATGGTTAAAATGTGTGTACATTCCAAAGCACAGTCTCTAGTACTTGAAATGCGCTTTTTACAAATTGGTGGCGAAGGGTGCGTGGTATCCAAAATCTGTAAATTACAAAATCTTCTGATCGATCAACTGTATATACATAGTAAATCTGAAGTCTCTAGGTCTAAACGTGTTCAAATCGGCCTTAAAAAACATTTTTTGATTATTCTCGATAAAATAGTTATCGGAGCGGTTATCGAAAAAGATGATGTACTGCGTATGGTACATACGAGTATGGATGCCAAATTTCAGCTCTCTAGCTCTTATACCTTCTGAGATCTAGGCGTTCATACGGACGGACGGACAGACAGACAGACGAACAGAGCTAAATCAACTCAGCTCGTCGCCCTGATCAAGAATATATATACTTTGTGGGGTCTGCCACGCCTCCTTCTGCCTGTTACATACATTTCAACAAAACCATTAAACCCTGATTTCCCATTGAAAATGGGTTAAGGGTATAAAAATATGCTAGCAGAACATGCTTTCATTGAGTTTCGCTGTGGTTGACCTTTCTGGAGAAATGCCCATATATATATTATACATATATGTAGTATAGTACAGTGCAGTGCAGTAAAGTAAAGTGAAGTGAAGTGTGCGATCGTTCAGACAGACCGATAGACCGGCTGAGCAGCAGTGCAAAAACCGACAGAGGAACAGAGAGACAGAGGAACTTAGCTACAGAGCGACAGAGCTACAGAGATTCAGAGAAACTTGGTCACATACAATCTGAACGACTGAACAACTGAGTGACTGAGTAACAGAGAAACTGAACGACTGAATAATAGAGCGACAGAGAAACTGAGTGACAGAATTTTGTTTTCAAAATTATAAGATTTATTTACAGGTTAGCATACCGCTAGATTTTTGGCATCTAATCTAAACAGAAATGTTAACTAATTTACATACTGAAAGCTACAATCTAGTATATATTATTATAATATATATAATATTATGCATATATTATAAAATGACAGATATTTTGGGCTTTTCAGATGTATAAGTATTCAGGTCAAGACCCGATCCAGCATTCTTGAGAGTGATGGCGTTTCAGCCCTCCTTATACCAGTTCGGCGGTTGACTGTGTTATGCGCTGCAGAGCCTAGGCGTCTGGCCAAGTTATTTGGATGGGAGTCCAGCCTTTTAAGATACTTTTTGGCTACCTCTTGAATTCTGTCACCAATTTTGGTAACTTTGAGGTCGCGTTCAATATTTACTGACGACTGATCGACTGCGTGACAGAGGTAGAGAGACACTAAGCGACAGAGCGACAGAGAAACTGAACGACTGATCGACTATGCGGCTGAGTGACAGATTGCCTGAGTGTCAGAGCAACTTAGTGACAGAGCGACAGAGCCAAACCGACTGAGTGACAGAGGAACTTGGCGCCAATAGAACGACAAATCGACTGAGCGACAGACCAACACATTATTCAAGTGTTTCGATTCTCGCATATATGTAAATGTGGAATACACAGTTTCCACTCACGTTTCACACCCTCTGTGGAAAGCATTTCATAAACTAGTTTGTCATCCCACCTCATCTCTTTTCTCTAGTTCATCAGCGATAAGCTGCTTTGATTTTTTACAGATGATGACACCTTCTCTCCGTAAATAAAATAATCACTAAGCTATTTTCCTGAAAAACTTCACCTTCAACGGGAAGTAATTAGTGAATGCTTGGTACGACCTCTGTACTGTTAGCTTTATTAGCCAATAATGATTTTTCATGGAAGCATTAAAGGTCACCATCGAATTTATTGAAATGTCCTTAAGGCAAAGTGCAATGAAATAAAATATATAAAATATATTTGTGTCAACAACGAAAGGTAAGTATCGCACTAGATAATAAAATTCTTTTTCCACTTGACATTTGTTTATATTCCTCGTTGACCGAGAAGCTATTATAATATTTGGTAAGGGCTCGCGGTTCCATTTATTATTCCTCTAGACAATAAGCCATTAAAAATCAATTCGACCCAAAAAATGCAAAGTGCCCCACAAACAAGTCGGCATATGGCTAACTTTTCGATAGAGCGTAAGAAACGCAAACAAAAACGGGCATTTGTAAGGCCTACCCCAAAGAAAATAAATGGAGGTCTCTCGCCTGGCTTTGCATTCCGCTAAATTGACTCTCAACTTTACGCAAATGGCACAAAAGCTGCCCGTACAGCCTAGTATGTATGTATTTACATACACATGTGCGGATAACAATGTATGTTATGCATGTGAAGCTGTACCTTTTAAAGAGTTCGAATCGGTTTTGGTTTCCCAACAAAATGTGAGCTCAATTTGTAAGAAATTTAAATTGCTGTATTCAATAAGGTATATATGTCTTATATAAAATTATATTATTAATATTCTATATATTACTGTGTTTGTTTTATATTTATTTTCATGTCCATATGAGTCCAACGTTAAAGCAAATGGGGAAGAATTAGTACTTAAATGTATGTATAATAAACATGAATGAAAACAAAGTAAGAATGCTCCAGTCGAGACTGCTCGACTAGGAGATACCCTGAACCCTCTAAGCTGATATTCTCTTTGTAGTAAGACTTTATCACATGTGATATGTTTAGAATGCGTATACATTCCACAGAACAAATCTCTAGTCCTTGAAATACGTTTTTTACAAATTGCAAGCAAAAAGGGCGTGTAATCCAAAATCTGTAAATTACAAAATCTTTGTATTCATAAATGTATATACACAGTAAATCTGAAGTCTCCAGGTTTAAAAGGGTTCAAAGTAGGCTGAAAAAAACAAAATCAATTTTCGATTATTCACGATAAAAAGTTATCGGATGAATTATGGGTTCAGGGTATAAAAATATATAAACAAATATAGCATACTTTTTGGATCAGGGTTAAGTTCTACACTGCACTACGGGGAAAATGACAACAGTAAGATCATTCAACATATTCTATAGATAAGGATATATAAATTTTGGTAAAATAAAAAAAAATAATGTGTGCTTGCAAAACTACGGAATATGTTTCGGATAACAGAATTAGGTATTTGTTTATTTGT